TCCCCCATGCCTCTCAGCCCTCCCCCTCCTCTCCCCATGCCTCTCAGTGTTTCCCTCACCCCTCCCAGTGCCTCTCAGCCCCCCTTCCCTCCCAATGCCTCTCAGCCCTCCCTCCTTCCCATGCTTCTCAGTCCTCTCCCGCCCCTCCCCACACTGTCAGCCCGCAGTGATGACTTGAAACAGGAGTCACAGTGGTCATTTTTGCCCTTTCTCTTTTTTCTGTCAGTCTGGCTGGATGTTTGTGCTTGTTGTTCGTCCTTTGACAGTGCAGCCTTACCTTTTGTGCATTTTCTCCACTGTTCCCAGCTCTCCAGCTCGATCTTGTTTGTGGCTGCCTTTGTTGTTTTCCCTTCCTCCTTGCTTTGCTTTTCTGGGTTTGCTTGGATTGTTGATTTGAAGTCATCTCTTTTTTCTTCCACTTTTTATTTTCTTTTGAAATTTTTATACTTAGTTTAAATGCCAGAGTACATGTGCAGAGGTCAGAGGACAACTTTTGGGAGTTGGTTCTCTCTTTCTGCCATGTTGTCTTTCCTGTGCAGCTGTTTGCCTGGTTGCTATAGCTGCCACCTCCTTCTCTTCCTCTTCCCCCTCCCCCTCCCCCTCCTCCTCTTCCCCTTCCCCCTCCTCCTCCTCCCCTCCTCTTCCTCCCCTTCTTCCTCCCCTCCCTCTCCTCCTCTCCTTCCTTCTCTTCTTCCTCCCCCTCCTTCTCCCCCTCCTTCTCCCCCTCCTTCTTCCCCTTCCCTCCTTCTCTTCTTCCTCTTCTGGAAAGATATATTTATAATATATCATTCTCCCCTCTCCTCTTAATTTTCAGAGTGTTCTATTTAAAGCAAGTGGCTCTGTTTATAGTTTTGACAGGTTTTTAAACTTCCTGTGTCCATCTTTGGTTGAAAACATTTGTGTGATGTTAGCTTCAACATTCTTGTCAGAAAATGGCAGCACTTGATTTACCTCAGCCTGATCTATTTCAGTTACCTTGTCTTGGTTAAGTTGACGTTCCCTTGGATTTTAGCATGAGTGATTTCAGCTGTCTCCGGGACATTGAAGGTATTATGAGATGTCTGACATTATATAAATGCACTGTTAGTGGACTTCCTCTGACACTGTGCCAGCAGAGAAGGAAGCAGCCACTTGTAGCCATCCTGGACGTAGCTAGCTTCAAGCTCTGCATTGACTTGGAGCCACCCATCCACTTTCTGGTGGGGTGTAGTTCAGGCTCTCTTTGGGCTCCACGTGAGGAGGTAAGGATTGCCTTGTCACCATTTCTACCTTGCTTCGATGGCTATCAGGTAGAGTGTGTGGTATGCTATTGGTAGAGCAGAGTCTTTACTCCGTTGCTGTCTGGTGGGGATGGGCTTCCAGTCTTCCCATGTGATCCTCCCTGTCACCACTGATGCGTATCTGGGCTTCCTCTTGGGCTTTTATTATGTAACTCCTGCAAGGAGCCTGGCCAGTGAGGCCTCCCAGCACTCCTTCATCTTTGCTGACACAGGTAGGAAGGGACCTGTAGGTATTTTCCTATTGTATTTTGTTGGAGCAGGACAATGATTGCCTAAAGTTTTCTATCATGCTAGTGTGCTTCTTGCTTGGTTCTTAGGTTAGAGAAAAACAGGCTTTGTTGAGAGTTGTCTTTGCATGTGGGCATTACTGTAGTTTTTAAGGAAAGTCTTTATTTTGTGTGTCTGTGATTCTGGGAGGAGTGCACAGTACAGTGAGCACATGGAGATCAGAGGACAACTTGAAAGAGTTGGTTCTCTCCTACCATGTGGGTCATGGGATTGAACTCGGGTCATCAGGCTTGGCAGCCAGTACATTCACCATGAAGCCTTCTTGACAGCCGGGTAGTGCATTTTCTATTAGTCTACTGTTCAGCGAGTTTTGAAATTAGGATGTGTGATACCCTTATTTTTGATTAATTTTCAAGATTGGCTTGGATGCTTTTAGTACTATGTGTTTTCATATGAATTTTAAAAATTTTTAAAAATGTCACAATATGCTAATATAATTTCGATAAGAATTTCCCTGAATTTGTAGATTGCCTTGTGTGATTGACATCTTAATAATATTAAGTTTGTAATGCATGGTGCTAGGTTGTCTTTCTTTAACTTAACTATTTTAAAATTTAAATTTAGAACTTGGAGTTTAATACAGCTGAGTGTAACCTTGGCTACTTTGGCCCAGTATAATCTAATTCCTTTAAAAGCTCTTTCAATCTCACAAATACAATATAGTCACTGTTTCTGTCAACTTTATAGCTTTTCTAAATGCATTCTGGGGCCAGCCAAGTTACTGACTGACGTATATAATGGGATTCCCCCAATCCCATGAAGCAATAACCTCCAGCAGGAATGGTCCTAAGGATTGAATTGACCTTCATCTGTCTGTGAGCACTTTGTGCACATTATAAACACAGCCAACATCACACTCTATGATTCTTCAATTTGCTCTACAGTACTTCAAGAGTGTCTTGGTTAAATACTATAGCCCTTTCCTGTCCAGCTTTAGGACTCTATAAAAGGGAAATTACTATAGTTTCATATAAAGTGTTTTATTGAATGCTTTTCTATGTAGCTGGTCTTCTTGTGTGTGTATCTGAGTTAAAGAGCCAGTTTTGAATTCAGGAAGTGGGCTGGAGAGAGGGCTCCACAATTAACAACGAGTACTGTCTTGCGGAGGACTTGGGTGTGGTTCCTAGCGCACCCACATTGGGCAGCTCACAGTCCCCGTAGGTCTTAGTGATGGATCCAAAGAAAGCTCTCCTCTGAACTTCACCTTTACTCACACTTGTACATATACACATAACAATAAGGAAACCTTACATTCCAGGAGAGATGTATGTCAGATTTAATTATTTTATTTTCCTTATAAAAATCATGAGATTATAGGTTAAACTCACCTCAGTAAGGACTAATTTGAATAGTTATGAAGGAAATATTTTGACATAAAACATCAGCACTATCTAAAGCTGAAATGTATCTGTTTTTTTTGTCTGCAACATCACTAAGTGCCGAGTCTTTCATAGTTGTTGCCATGGCAGAGCAGGCTTGGTCAGTGGCCATTGTGAACAACAGCCTGTGGTGGGAACACAGGAAGATACAGAGCAGCCCTGGTTTTAACCAGAACCTTCTCTGTGTCCTAACTCACATGTCTGACAGTGGGGCAGGTTGCCCAGAAATGTAAATACCCAGTGATGATGTCTGATACAGGAAGCCTACCTCAGAAAACACACAGGAGAAGCTTCTCTCACTCCTGTGGTGCTTTGCTGCTGGAATGGCTGAATAGTGCTACCCTGGAGAGCAGAGGCCATATCTGGGGCTCTTATCCTGCCCCTTCCTCACTCCTGCAGGCCTTCACCACACCTTATATGGGGCCCATAGGTTAAAACTCAGGGGCAGTGACTTCCCAGCAAAACTTACTTTGTTCTCCTGGTGTGATTAGTTCCAGGAATGAGGAATTTCAAGCTTGCAGGAAATGGTCCTCTCTAGGTGACCCTTGCTCCCAGAGCAAACTAGAGAGATTCCAGGGACCCTGGTGATGCCAGTGTTCTGGTCTCAGCCAGCTTTCATTATCTCTGGCTAGAAAAGAATCATCGAACTAGAAAGGGGACATTTCCAGGTGTGGTATTAGCAGTGTAACCTCAACACCTAATATTCAGAAAGCATTCCCTGAGCATGGCCATGCCCTGGGCTTTGTTGCAGTCTCTGCTTAGATGATGTTAAATAGGACAGGAGCCTTGATCTTATGCAAGAGGAAAAAAGAGGCAAGCACCTAGAATGGTCGTTGTGATAAGGTAAGCACATTCTGCCAATAAAGATATCACCTATGTGTTCTGGGAACACACAGGGAATACATTCTAACACGAGTGTTCAGGCTGTGTCAAGATAATCCTAGATTTAAATTTCAGAGGAAGACAGATAAGGTGCTGAGGAAGCCAGGTGCCCCATGGTAAAGGCCGGCCTTTTTCCAGTCCCTGGCGCATAGACTGTATTGAGCTTCCTTTCGCTTGGGAAGCTAAGGCGGCTTTGCTTGTGAGACTTCTTGGTGGCTGTGGTGTAGTCCACAAAGGGCAGCTTATAGCTTCTAAGCAGATAAATAAATGAACATGCTGATTTGGAAAGATAGTTTTGGTAATAGCATGAAAGATGGGTTAGAGAGTTTGGGGGAGAGGGAAGGAGCCTAACTATGGAACTCACAGAGTAGTTCAGGCAGAGAGAATGAAATGCAAAATTGGACTCTTATAAAAAGGCTGGATCCATTTGCAAGTCCGCGACGGATGCAAGCTATAACTTTTATTCTGGAAGGCATTTCTTCTTGTGATTAGGAAAGGATTAAAATCTTTCTTTAAGTAGACTTCTGTAGTATAAAGAAGATAGAAGTTGATGGTTAAGGTAAAAATGATCCGTATTTCACTGAAGGTGGCTGACTTCTTTTAAATCATAAATTTAGCTTGTAGTTTTGAGTCATATAATTTTAATTTTAAAAGGGCAGAAACTAATCAGAATATTTGATCATCAATGAATGTTCTTCTGGAGGAGGGAGGCTGCCACTCAGAATTGTGTCTGAAGCTAATTTTTGGGATTGGGAAGAGCAAGGTAGGTTCATTGTGTGTATGTCAGAGCCCAAAGGAGAGGGCAGTGCTCTAACACTGTTAATAATGCTGAAAGTACAGGGACTTGGTGACTTAGTGGCAGGTCAGGCATGCCTGAGTACCGTTGCCAATAATTTTGTCTAAATCTGAAATGTGAAAGCTTTACTCTTAAATTGGAACCTATGGGAGTGACACACTGTATCCATTTGTGATAGGTAAATTCTGTGGTCCCAGAAGAACTGAACAACCCACAGATCACTTGGCTGTGACTTCCCGAGCTCGCATGAGACTCGCATGAGCTTCCCTGAGACTGTTTTCTGGGAATTTTTCTCTTTTGTGCTTCAAGGTGACTCTGGAACTTGAGGTCCTTAGTTTTATTCTTTTTGACTTTAAGTAGATATTACTGTCATCCTTGCTCTGGCTCGCTATAGCTTTTAAAAGATGTGCAAAGTGCTTGAGCAAAGGGCATGCTGGGGAGGCACAGCCTGCAGGGCCGATGGTTCTTCCTAGGTCCAGAGTCCAGTTAGCACATGCTGTTACAGGACCCAGCACCATGTTCAATGGAATTTCGCACTCTTCTTTCAGTTGTTAAGGCACAGAAAGAAGCATATTTCTTGAGAACATTCTCAGCCTCATGCACAAATGGTCTCTGTGACATGAAGCATTGAGTCTTCACCCTTCAGCCTCTCCATGGATCCCCTAGTGAGTTCCTCAGCACAGTTGACTTGCCTTGTGTGCACCAGCACTTTATTCAGGTTTGATTAGATGGCAACATAATAGCTGGAGATTTTGTTCTCTTTGGTCTCCTTTGAACCATAAACCTGCGGTGGATGCTGCTCTGAGTTGAAGGGAAATTGCCAGGAATGTCAAAGATTCATCTCTCAAAGACAGTTTGCCCAAATGAGAAAATTCAGTGTCACTCTGGAAAGCAGAGAGCAGATGCACACTGCTTTGTACTTCAGTTCCAT